GTGCCCCGTAGGCATTTTTGTCTCTCACAGTCTCCAGATGACACTCCAACAGTAAGAGAAATGTGAGCAGGTGCACCTATTAAATATGTAAAATACTCATCTTCTCTTCCACTCGCTTAGAAGATGTATTTCTAAGGGGGGTAAAAAGTCACCTAATATAAAGACAGACAGGTAGAAAAACATTACATTTTTTTTTTTTTTTTTAGCACACAAGAATGCAAGTGGGCTCGGCCCATCAGCTTTCTGCGGAAAATAAATAAATGCAAGCAATTAAAAATTCAGTTTCTTTTCTTTAAGCAAATTCCTCAGGTTTTGCTAATTAGCAACTAATAGTTCTGTCATCCGAGCTGGGAAACATAAGGAGGAATACCAGCGGTGTGTTTTCAATCAAAGCATTTGCATGCAGGAATGAATCAGATTTTCCGTGAGGGACTATTACTGCTTGGGAGCAGTTGGGGGCAGAAGAAAAGCATCGTCACAACCACAAAACTGTAAAAGGGACCTGAAATTTTAGAAAAGGGGACCTCCTTCTCCTCCTTGTAACAGAACCAGCAGGGGCCCTGCAAGGCATGCCTGGTGAATCTGAGAAGCTCCCCACCAAGACTCCAGCAGGGACAGTCGGAACACACAAGCCTTCGCAGGAAGACAGAAGACAACGCAACCCATGTTTTCTGTCCCAGGGACGAGAGGAAAAGTTAAGCATCGGCCGGGGTGCAGGGATGCCTGAACTATGACGTCACCTGCCTTCACAAGTTCCTAAGAGAATGAAGTGCGTGGTGGTTAAGTGCAAGCTGGGGTGATGGTAGTTTGAAATAACCTGGCTACGGATGGCGCAGGGGCAAAATGAAAGTGTAGGAAGGGGACAGGGGTCCTAACCCTGACTCCGGTACAAGCAGGTCAGGGCTCTGAAGCCCGGCCCTTCCCACGCTCTCCGGGACGAAAAAGCGCTAGTGATCACGCAGCAACCCGCCTGGCAGCGTCACCCCACGCCTGAGCCGCGGAGCTTGAACGTCTACTTTCTCGCCTTGATATACAAGCCCTCTGCCACTACCCTTCAGGGGAGAATACCCTCCGGGGCCCCCTGTGAGGATTTTATTCCAAACATATGTTGCGAACGTTTGAAGTGCCCGCTCTCCCTGGTATTCCTTTTTTTTTTTTTTTTTTTTTTTTTTTTTTTTTTTTTTTTTTTAAGTCAAACCCACAAAACCTAAAATACTCTGAATCCAGCCAACTGCAGTTTGCGAAGATGCAACATTCCATGCCCAAGGATAATAAAGTCTTGTGCAATAAAGATTTTACAGATGTCCTTCTGAGGGTAAAGAAACGATTTTCCCTTTTCCGGTCTTACGGGAAGCCTGCCCACACGTTAGAAATACAAAGTTAGTATATATAGAAGCACAAATTAGCCATCTTGGAAAGTCCACATTTTCCAACCACAGAGAAACGAAGGAATTCCTGTGAGTGTTCCCATGCGCAGCGACACGGGATTGAGGATTCTTTTCTCCCCAACAACCTGGTGAAGCCAGCACATGACTCAAAAGAAAAGGGAATGAACGGCCTTTAAAAAGAGGTTTCTGAACCTTGAGCCACTGCAGGGCTGCAGTACCGACAGGTAAAGAAATGGGACTGAATTTCCAGGTCTCATTTTAAAAAGACGGTGCTTCGCTCACACCCTAAAAAGTCTTGAAGATGTGACTTCAGCATCACATTGGTCATTCATTAGCTTTACCTGGATAATGAAATCCAGATCAGGGGGATGGATTTTATTATAAAGTGCTAAAAAAATACTCATTATACTGCGAGAAGATTAAATGACCCAATAGGGTTCGAGACAAACTACAGTTACATCCTATCTAACTCCTTGAGGCTTAGTTGAGGACTTCGTTTGGGGTGCCTGGGTGGCTCAGTCGGTTAAGCGGCCGACTTCGGCTCAGGTCATGATCTCACAGTCCGTGAGTTTGAGCCCCGCGTCGGGCTCTGTGCTGACGGCTCAGAGCCTGGAGCCTGTTTCAGATTCTGTGTCTCCCTCTCTCTGACCCTCCCCTGTTCATGCTCTGTCTCTCCCTGTCTCAAAAATAAATAAAACGTTAAAAAAAATTGTTTTAATAAATAAATAAAAATAAAAGACTTCATTTGAATACTTCTGCACCTGTCATGTTTTCCAGATAAGTCTGTATTTGCTACATAAAACACTTCTGCCAAGAATTTAACAGGTGAAAACTTCTCAAAATCATCTAAATGTTTCCGTACTTCCTTCACTTACAAAAGAGCAAAAGATTAGAGAGAATTCACTAAGGTTCAGGGAGAGAGGTTATGTTCAGAAGGCCACCAAGCACAGTGCCGACACCAACCTTTTTCCCAAGGTTTATGGCCCACTTGATCTCTGATCTGTGGAAGATCTGTGGATCTCAGGGAGGCAGAGAAATACACGCGACTGCAGCACTAACAAAAACACCTTGGTTTGGAGAGTTGAACTAATCACATACAGGTGCTGATGGTGGCGGTGATGGTGGCAGTGATGATGATGATGATGGAAAGGAACAGGAGGAAGTGGAACAAGAAAATGACATAAACTTTAATGAAGTGGACGCCCGGGGGGGAAGTCCCATAATCATGTGAAGCACTCATCATGAGCCAGAGATTTTATCAAATACTGTATTTGCATGGTCTCCCTTAATTGTCAGGAAAACGCCATGGAGCAGCAGTCACATTATAACGCCAAGTAAATAGTTAGCAAATGATTTTTCAAGGGGTCAACACGCCTGGCCAAGTTACACAGCCACAAAATGGCAAAGCTGGACCTTGAGCCGAAATCCCCTAAATGGTAATCTGATCTGGGTAATCCCTGGGATTCCCCCAACCATGTTATATATGTCATGATATCATTTATTTAGGGCCAATTTAGAGAGTACATTGGGATGGTGGGTCAAAATGGCATTTGCCAGTTGGTTATAGGCAACGTACATAGTTTGTCAGCCACCATGCAATTTTAACAGTGACTTGAACAAAACAGTGGGGAAAGCTGAAGACATCAAGCTGTTGGTCTATGTCCTCTAAACAGAACAGTCCCAAGCCCCGCTAAGAGCTCTCCAGTGCCCTGTGCTAGTTAATATCCCACTGGTGGCCCAAGAGAGGCAGGTCACAAACACGGTGCCACAGATCCCAGGTGTGCAGAGAGCCTATCCCTCAATGGAGGGAGAGGATCCAATGGGCAAACCGTTAGAACCAACGAACCAAGAACAAGCTGCAAGTTAAATAGCACGGAGAGAAAGTTAACGGTCATCTGCCTACTTCCATCAACCGGAAGAGAAGTATTCGTCAGCTGTCCTGCCCAATTAAATACCTCACTAATTAGTGGGCATCTGGAATAGAAAACAAAACATAAATAAGAGACGGGAAAAGTTTGTGTTCACACATAAGAATGAAAACAATGCAGGGAACTTGTGGCTAATAAGCTAGGCTGGAGTCTTTCTAAAAAGTAAATACACTCAGGGAGTAAAAATTTAGGATGCGGATTCCCTCCCATTTTCTGCAGGAACAGAGATCCAACAGAGACCCGTTAAATAAAAATACAATGTAGGAAACAAGACTGTGCCCAGAGAAAAATCCTGCCAACACTGTTTCAAACTCTCCTAAAAAAAAGGAGAAAGACAATGAAATAAACTTTAATGAAGGAAGAAAAAGAGGCACGCCCCACTCCTCCTCACTTCTAGACTGGTAAAAACAACTGCAGCAATGAGCACTTTTTGATCAGAGAAGTTGTTATTTTTGACCAGTAAGCACTTTTTGATCAGAGAAGTCGTAGCCTTGTCCAAAAGCTTACAAGAATCCCTAAGACCCTCTCCTCTATGCTTCTGACCACTTAAAAAATAATTCGCTCCGCACTTACAAAAATAATGTACCTTCCGTCTTTACTAACAATGTAATCTGGTCGGTGGGGAAGGGGGGGGAGCAGTTGCTGAGACGTAAGGTTGCTCCGGGCTCTTTGATCTGCACCCTGATGAGGGAACATTCCCCTCTGCTGCAAGCCAGCTAACGAAGGGATGAAATTAGCTTTTATCCTGGGCACTTTCTTGAGCAAAAAGAAAAAAAAAAAAAAGCACTAATCAGCTGTCCTCACTAATCAGTCATCTGGCTAATGACCTTTTGCCTTAAAACACTAAAATTTCTGAATGATGTGGAAAAAGGGAAACACAAACCAGTGCCCCTCACTGGAGCTCAATGGATCATCTGGAATTGGAGCCGGGAAGGTTAAATGGCAAGTCTGTATCCTGGCAAGGTGATAAATCTGTAATCAAGAGCTGTAAGCTTTGGCACCTCAATGTGAACTTCATTACTCCACAACCAAATTATATTGTTTTTAACTAGAAACAGGCCACAAATAAAGTCACCCCTTATACATCATTCTTTGGAGAAAACCATCATACACTTTTGTTCTGAGTGCTAGTGATTTACTTAAACTTTATTAGTGCTGGAAAAGGAGCTTCGCACATTTCTGGCATGCTGGCTGGAGAGGAAAGCAAAACAGGTAGCAAAAAATCTTCCGCATTAAGGAATTTAGCAACGATCTGTTAAAAGAGGTCTGTTCATCCTCAACAATTACGCAAAAAATCATTAAAAATGGGAATAGCTGTTGTTAAAGGCTCCTGCCAATGCAGCCCACTTTAATAACTACCCCCATCAACCAATTTTCCTCCTGCAGTGTCTACTTGGGTGGAAGAAATCTGGTTCTCGTTCCCAGCAAAGGTCCATGTGGCTTAGCCACAGATGGACACCTTCCTGAAGGCTTGATGTTGCTTAGAGATGTAAGAAAACGGCTCTCTCTAAAAGGAGGAATGGACAGGATGTAGGAGAGGGGGAGAAGAGTGGGGAAAAAAAAGTCAATTAAACATTTATATCAATTAATACCAGCACAATAATTCATGAAGCACGCGTGCACGCGCACATGCCTGGCCTTCCGCAGCTCCCGGAATGGGGGCCGCGGGACAGGAACCACTTACGGTAGTGGGGCTCCATGTAACCATTCCTGGGGTCCATGGCAAACACAGTCCCGCGGTACGGCACAGAGGGCTCAGCCAGGTGGGGCAGGGACCCATGGATCTCCTTCTTGATCAGTGAGGCCCTCTCGTCACTAGATGTCGAAGGCTCCTCGCTGATCTTGCCGAGCCCCTGGACACTCTGTGGCTGCATGGTGACTGCGTTTCTTCTCTCTCTGTGATAGGTCTGCCCAGGACTTTCATCTTCTAAGGAAAGAAGGAAAACGAAAGCTCCGTGAGCCACTGGAAGGAGTGATTCAAAAACAGTAATCAATTAGGTCTCCCTCTCTCTCCCTCCTCCCCAAAAGAAGCCTATTTCTCATTCTTGGCAACTTTGAAAGCTACACCATGATGGGATAGTCTCCAGGCAAAACTGCTTATGAATGAAGGTCCAAAATACAAATCCAAGGATGGGGGGGGGGGGCAGGAAATGAGCCTATTAAGTTGAGATGTAGGGGGTCAGCAAATTATCATCGCCAGCTTACAACCGAAATCTGCCAGAGAGGCTTTTCATCAGGGACTTGCCAATATCCCTGCAGGTCCCAAGTGGAGCTGGAAGCTCTGCCAGCCTGAGGCTGTGATGTCCAGCTTCCCCCTGACTGTCTGAGGAAGCTGGGCCGCTCAGGTATCTGGGCAGCTCAGACACCCGCTGAGGCTCTGGGTGATCTAGGGATCAAAGGGCCCACAGTGATCCAGAAGTTTTCCCGTTTTTGTCTTTTTAGGTCTGTAACCCACTGGTTTACTGGAGCTTGAAATGGGACAAAAGACCCACTAGTTACAAAGGGATAAAGGTGCCAACCGTGGAAACCTACAATGCCCTTTGCAAGTTACTTCGCTGCAGCCCACAGAACATTGCTGAGAACCAAGAAGAAAATGGAGCAAGACTGTAATTCCCAGGGCAAGACGGCTCTGTGGGTGAGGCAGGCGTCAGTTGTGCGGATACGGGCACATGTTCTGCGGGGGTCCGGACGCCGCTTCAGACATTAAGAAACAGCTTTCTGAAATTCCACACACATTCAATATTCCCGCCTCCAGTATTTCCATTCCCTTTGATCCATAGGACCTTCCCATCGACCCATTATGGCTCTCTGGGAATGGGACTGGAGGACCTCTTGTATAAGAGCAGATCAAAGAACCCACGCCTAAAACTAAACCAAACGAGTGATCTGAACCCACAACAAATGGGCCAATTCATCTGTTAGAATCATACACACATTCTAAACTACAAGCTCCCAAACAAGTTCTGCAGTTCATCAGCAGACTGTGTTCTGGAAGGTCCGTGCTGACAGAAGCAAAGCCGTTTGCGCACGGCTTACACATCTAATTTGAAAACTATTTTCCATTCTTGATCTTAAATACACATATATGTATGTGAGTGATAATGCTATTGTGCATTTCAGATGGACAGATTTTGAACACGGTTTATCCCAACATATAAACTTCTCTTCAAAGTATTGCATAAAGCAGTTCTATCTGGCCGAGAGCCCCTAAACAACAGAAAAAGTATGCTTTAGCAGATTCATGGCTGTTTGTACAAATTCAGAAGCAAGTACAGCTATAAACACGGGCAAGCATGAATATATAGACTATAGTCACGACTACTGTTCTGTGTTGACTAATGGCTTGAACTACCCAAAGCAACTTGAATCCTTCTGCCTCTGTCTGGGATTTGAAGAAATAAGCAATTGTTGTTTCAGCCTAGCAAATGACTTGCAGAACAGAACAGACAATGAGGTATGCTTTGGTCTTTACAGTGAATTTGCTGACTGCTGCAGGGAAACTGTGAAACATTACTTTAGCATTGTTTTGTGCAGATCTTCTCCCCCAAATCTTGTAATTATGGAATAGATTATGAGTTTAATCTATCAAGTAACTACTAAACAGAAGGAAAAAATCAGTGTAATCCCACCCTTTCCCACATCGATCTTTACAAAAGCAATTCAAAGCGCATGCTTTTGTTCATTTAAAAACAAACTACCAAAAAAAAAAAAAACAAAAAAAAAACCAACCAACTCACAAAACCCTCCATTTTTATTTTCCCTTCTGACTAATCCTTGTAGGTGCCACTCCAACTTCATACTTCATTAGCAGTGAAGTCGCAGGCTATAGAATCAGGGTTTGCAAAAGGGTGTCAAAAACATTAAACCTCTTAGTCAGTTTTATAAAAATTCCTATAACCTGCAAATGGTCAACGTCATATTTTCCACTAATTTGCGCCTGTATTAAATCTTTATTTCAAATTTCAACCTGAAGTGAACTCGTGGCACTGAGGTGCAAGTTCTGTAGGATGGACCTTCATTTGGAAAACCCGAAAGCCCTCCCCCAAGAGCCGTCTTGACACATAATTAGCATTCTCTGGTTAATGAATAACCAAGCTCCTCCGCTAATCTGTTCCAGGTTGAAAACAGGATTCCCTTGACTTAATCTTCCTAGAAGAAATTAACTTCTCTTCTCTTCTCTTGGAACGGCATCCCTGTAATAGAGTGAGTTTCTTAGAAGCCATGCCTTCGTGATGAGCCGCTGAATTCCAACTTCACAAACAGTTGAATAATTGGGCCTGGTCTGAGCAGGGCCCTCCCATGCCCCACCCCCAGTCTCCTGGGAGAAGGAAGCAATTGGGGGGCGGGGAGGAGTGGAAATGGGGTGTCTTTTCAGCTAAGTGATTTTTTTCACAAGTACTAAACTTTTATTATTTTCTTAATGAGAGTGATAACTAACGTGTGACTACGCAAGTTATAACAAGGAATAAACAAAGTTCAAATAGTTAATACAGAAAACCTTAACTCATTGCTTTAGTAAACTGCAGGCAAGAATGTTCTGAGTGTGCAAACTTTCATCACACTCACTTTTACGACAGGCGATGCCAACACAGTTTACCCACCCCCTCCCTCCTCGCCAAGAAATTCCAGTAGGCAACTATTTCCTGAAGTTTACCTCGTGTACTAAGCTGCTTCTCGCTTCTAACGTGCACTCAGATCAAACCCTGACAGTACACACGCTCCAGAATACAAACAGCTCTGAGGCTAGAGAGCACGCTCTCTGCAGTGAAAAGGAAACTTTCCAAGCCATATTCCTGCCTGCTCTTATAAATTTAGCAACCACTTCAGTAAGCCAAAAGAAGAAACTGTCTAATCTTGTTCAGTTGTGCCGAATTGTTCAATAAAGTTTGAGAGTCAGTGCAGACAGGCTACGCCAGGCCAAATTATTGACAGAAACATACTGTTCACCATGGCAACAAGCAGAAGTCGGCTGCAAAAATGTAAGCCAACAGCCCACTGCTCCAGGAGCATCTGCCAATGGACTTTAACGGCCAAACACAGGCAGGGGGCTGTTCCTGCTTCTCTATGTCAAACAGCTGCTAACTCGGGGGTCACACGGAAACATGCAATTCACTAAAAAGTGTCAGGAAAAAAACAATTTTAAATACTGTCATCAGAATCCCTCTTTGGACCTCCTTCCTTCTGTATATCCACGCTCGAGTGCAAGTTAACAAACTCCTGCCCCCCGATGGAGAGCTGCCCAAGCATCGCATTTTACAAACTGTCCCAGATTTTTCCAAACTCACCCAAAGGCAACCGACATCATCGAGTCTTAGTGCCATGATCGCTGGAAACTCAAAAGTTGCCTCCTTGCAAACACCGCTCAGATCACTGACAATGAAGCCTTAACGAAACCGTGTGGTGAGAAGCGGGACTCGAACACACGCTCCTGTGCACTTACTCGCAAACACCTGCACGATTTCTCCTCGCAACCCAGGAAGCAATGGCTTTTTGGCCTGGACCTTGGATAAAAGTTTCAGACGATTCTTCCGGTATAAAAATAAAACCCTGCACTGCATCACCAACCAGAAACATCTCCTGCAACCCTGGCAAAATTAGCTGATGAGGAGAGCTCACGGTGCACGTGGTTGCCTTTTTTTTTTTCTCAAATTAACATCGATTTTTAAACTGTTCCCTTAAATCCCGTTTTAACACCATTACTCCTCTCTTCCCCCAAGACAGAGAAGACACAGAGTATAAGACAACGGGCAATACTTACAACTCGGACCCCAGGCTCTGGCTAGCTACTTTCTGCAAACTTCTCTTGGTGGGCTTTCTCTAGTATGCAGACCCTCTAGGAACATTCTCGGTGTCTCCCTGCCTCCCTCACCCTCTCCCAGGCAGTGCCGCTCCCATTAGAGGAATTAAAAGTGGTTGGAGCCATGCTAAATTTAACAAGCTCATTAGTATTCTTTCTGAGTGCTTCCGAGTGAACTCTCTCTATTCAAGCCGCTCTCTCCAGCAGAAGGGTCAGGCGGCTAATCATTAAATCAAACTAATGTCACCCTATCACAATCAGCCCGAGAGAAGGAGGGTTTATTATTTCAGTTTATGCTAAATAAACGGTTTTACAAATGGTCCCCAAGCAAGGTCAACAGCAGCTTCAATTACAAGACAAACTTAACAAGAGTTGCTATAAACCAAGTACTCTGTATTGACTTAAGAACAGGCTCAACTCCACATATTGCCACTGGCGGGGTTGTACCGGAATGCATATTGTAAAATAAAGGAGCTTCTTTCTTTGCCAGAATTTGCGACTGCACAGCACAGCGACTCCTCATTCACCTGTCTCCAACCAGCTAGCTGCTCAGCTCAATTCACCCCACACAAAGGCTGGAGCCCAGACCTCAATGGACCGAGTGAAACATGTTCAAAACTAGGCTCTCTATTGTGACTGAATTTCTTAACATCTTTTCAAAAAGCGGAGAATGCCTTGAGGCTAAAGGAAGAAACAGGCTAATGGTGAATTGGGAATTCTGAGCAAATTTCAGAGCCCTTTCCTCCTAGCTTTTGAGGTTGAAAGCAAGCTCTTTCCTTTCAAGTTTCAAAGTCCTTTTTCCTCCCGCAGTGTCACAGAAGGATTTGAAAAGAAGGTAATTGTGCTCACAGTCTCCCTGATCAGAGCTTACGTCCTATTTCTGGTATTTCGGAATACTTCTTGCAATAATAGTGCATATAGCTCAATCCCTTAACCGGCCTGCACTCTGCAATTGCTCATTAAATGAACAATTGCGGGTATAAAATGCCTTTTATGTTCAAGGTCTGGATATAAGATAAGCATTCTAGGACTCTAAATTTGGTTTACTAAGGAAACTCTCCATCATTAAATTACAAAACTGAAGTCAGAATATCAGGCTTTCCCAGAAAAGTGGCACTCAGGTTTCGGTG